TGACGTCGTTTTCGGATTCGTGGATTGGACAATAAAAGAAGTAAAATGTATGTTTCCTTGAAATGGTTGTCTCACATTGAAACTTAAAGAGAACTTATGTGTATATATAAGTTCTAGGTGAGAATACTTGGGTTGGGTCCCAAGGAGCACCCCAGGTTTATAGAAGGGAGGGGTTATGGACAAAGTAAGCTTTGGCCTAAACCACCAAATGCGCGTGTGGCACCGCACCAGGTGCGGGTTGTGAGTTGGGTCCTAACTTTAATTTTTGGACAAATGTTATTTGATTTTTCCCAAAATTCTTGCAGGAAAAATTTGAATTTTGCACCAATTTGAATTCAAATTTTTTTGCTCCCAACTATTGTGTCTTTTCTAAACTGTCCAAGCAGATTTAGATTTTTTTTTTAATTTGATTTAACAGATTGCGCCCGGACAAATTTTATTCTTCCTAGACAGATTTAAAACTGCCCAATAGTTTCCAACAGATCAAACTGGTTTCAAACAAATTTTTGCTTCTGTTCAGTTTGAATTTGCACCTGTTCGGATCTATCCAATAGTTACCATTTTGCCTATAAATTCATAATCATTTCAGCAGATTTGCACATCCAGAAAATTCATTTCTCTTCCCGATTTTGCTCTCTCTTTGCATTATTCTTCATACTAGTTTTAGAGAAAATTCTAAGAGTATAGAACACAGGCTCTAGTTCGCCGTACAGATTGTTTAAAGTACTGCTACAATTTGTGTAAGATCATTGTATCTTTGAAGATAGACGCCATTTATCCATAAGCACCAGAGCGGGACGAATCTGTCTTATGGACAGAGTGTCACACACTCGACTTGATCAAATTTGTACTTATTCATTTCGGTAAATAAATTCTATAAGTAATTTATTTTTATTTATTTGATTTGGTTTCAAGTTATTTATTTTACACAGAAGATTGTTCCAACAATCTTAAGACAGATTCGAATTATTTTGTTTATACAGAATTTTTCGTTTGTTTCCTTTTCTTTCTTTCTTCTTCTTATAGAAATTATTTTCTATGGCTTTACAAAGTAATATTCTGGTTGAAAAATACAAATAGTAGTAATATACTGTTTGACAAATAATAGTAATATACTGTTTATTTTCTTTGACAACTAGTAGTAATACACTGGTTATCATTAACAATTTCATAATATTCATTAGTGTAGTCAGAAATTAATTTTGGTTTTCATAAATAATTTCTGAGTTTTCATTAATTAAAATTTTGTTTTCAGTATGTTAATTTTTGAAGTGTTAAAGAAATTTTTTTCTGTGTGGAATTAATTTGTTTAAATAAATATTTTATTTTCAAATTAATTGGAAATAAAAGTTACAATTCTTATTTCTTTTATTTTTATAGAATTAAATTCTGTGTTTTGGTTTAATTTTCTGTGTAGTATAAAATTATAATTCTAATTTTGTTTTATAATTTAGAATTTATGGCTACTGAAACCAATGCTCAAACCAGTACTGGTATGGTCACTACAATTGCTCCAACTCCTCATCTTGTTGTGATTGTGCCAGTCAATCACGGTAAAAAGCTAGAGAAGTTCTTAGGAACTGATTTTAAAAGATGGTAGCAGAAAATGTTGTTCTATCTTACTACTCTAAACATGGCGTGTTTCCTCTGTGAGAATGCTCCTACTTTGAACGAGGTTGAAACAAACCGACAAGTGGTTGCTGCCGTCGATGCCTGGAAACATGCTGATTTCCTTTGCCGGAATTACATCCTGAACAGACTTGATAACATATTGTACAACGTCTGTAGCCCTATTAAAACGATAAAGGAA